AATTAACTTGTTTGTATCTCAATTTCATCATCTATAAAATGAAGATAATTATATTTTCCCCCTTATATGGTGTTTTGAATATAATATTAACTAATCCTTGTAAGATGCTTGGAATGCCTATCACATACTAAAAATTCATTAAATGTTAGCCATTATTTTTTATTATTTGCTCATAAAAAGCTTCCTTAGACAGTATCATTCCTTTTTCTAGGTCATTCATTATTCTGTGTTATGATTTCTTTAGCAGCCACAGGAGCTGGACTCAGGCCTTTATCTGTGATTCCCCCCATGAACCTTCTGTATGGACTTGGCTTTTTGAGGCATCTCAATTTCTTCTCCTGCAAATGGGCATGTTAAAATTGCCTTAATCCAGGAACATTTTGCTGTGGTGCAAACGTTATGCTATGTTTTGAATATACAATTAATCCATGTTTTATGTAGAAAATGTAAAAAGTGGAATGTTCTGGGTAATAAAAGTATGTGTGTTAAAGGATACCAAACACCACAAAAAAATTAGAATTTGATAAAATACACTTAATACTTAACCTCATCTACTCGAAGGAAAACAGTGCCATAGAAACAGCAGTACGATACTGGCCTGGGTTTTAAGCACAACTCTGTCATTTACTAACCGTGTGATTTCATCCACACTACTTTCTTAGTCTCTCTGAGTCTCAGTTGTGACTATTGTCACTGCCATCATAGTTTCTGTTAATAGCATAGAAGGAGGGTCAGCACACTAGCTTTTTGTTCTGGTTCTATTATCAACTGGCTGTATTGCTTTAGGTAAACCTCTTGCCCTCTCTGTTTTACGAGAAACATGAGAAAACTAGAGAATACTAATTCCCATCCAGACCCAGTGTCTGACTGGGCCAGATAACTGACTACCAATTTTTATTTATTATATTTAATTAAAGTGGGCCCCACCTCTATGCTAAGTTGGCCTTTCCTTTCTGTGAGGGGCTTTGACCATTGTAAGAAACTATGGAAAAGGTAATAATGTCTTTTTCCCCTAGCAATCTAGAAAAATAATAGGTTAGAAATCATTAGTTAATGAAGTCTAGCTGTGCCCTATCCCAAAGCAAGGGGGCTGGGTTTGATGACCCTAAGGTTTTTTGTTTGTTTGTTTGCTTGTAGTAATCTGATTTTATGATTCATCAATGTAATTATCAACTAACCAGTGAGAGGATTCCAGTTTCCATCCAGCCAATTAGAGATGAGATTAGGTAACTGTTCTTTACCCTGCAGTGAGGTTTGGGATAGAAAATACTTTTGACAAATACTCTGTACTTAATTAAAGTTTAGCACTTGCTGCACAAAGGAAATAACTGACAATATGTGATTATGAACTTACCTGCTTAGATAAATAAAGCTACACAGCAGGAATTTTGAAGACCTTGTTGGAACCATGAATTATTAGTCACCCGCTTTTCTTTGTTTCCCTAGTAGCATTTGGCACATGCTCCTCCCCTGTCAGTCTCCAGAGTTAGATGGGGGGATTATGCATCAAATGTAGCATGGATTTTTATTTATTTATGTATTTATAATTTTAATTTTAAAAATTTTGTTCATAATTGACATATCTGGCACAACAGTGTATTGGTGTGATGTTTCGATACATGCATATACTGAATAATGATCAAATCAAGGGAGTTAGCATATACATCACCTCAAACATGTATCATTTCATTGTGGTGATAACTTTCAAGATCCTTTTTTCTAGTTACTTAAAATCTACAGTACATTATTATTAGCCATGGTCACCCTACTATGTAATAGAGCACAGAACTTATTCTTCCTAAATGTCACTTCGTATCCGTTAACCAAGCTCTCCCCATTTCCCTTTCCTACTACCCTTCCTAGCCTCTGGTAACCACTATTCTACTCTCTAATTCCATGATATCAACTTTTTTAGACTCTACATATGAGTGAGGTTATGTGGTATTTGTCTTTCTATGCCTGGCTTATTTCACTTAACATTATGTCCTCGAGGTTCATCCATGTTGCTGCAAATGATAGTATTTCATTGTGTATATCATCAGTTTGTGGAAATTTAGGTGGATTCCATATTTTGGTCATTTTGAATGGTGCTGCAATAAACATGAGGGTGCAGATATCTCTTTGATATACTAATTTCAGTTCCTTTGAATATGTACCTAGTAGTGAGATTGCTAGATCATATGGTAGTTCTATTTTTAGTTTTCTGAGGAATCTTCATGCTGTTTTCATAATGACTGCACTAATTTACACTCCCACCAACAGTGTATTAGAGTTCCCCTTTCTTTGCATCCTGGCCAGCATTTGTTATTTTCTGGCTTTTTGATAAAAAACTGTGCATTTGATTTGTATTTCCCTGATGATAGTGATGTTGAGCATTTTATCATACACCTGCTGGCCATTTTTATGTATTCGTTCGAGAAATGTCTATTCAACTCTTTTGCCCATTTAAAAAAAAAATTGTTCTTTTTGCTATTAAGTTATTTGAGTTCTTCACATAGTCTGGATATTAACCCTTTACTGGACTCATCGTTTGCAAATATTTTCTTCAATTCTGTAGGTTGTCTCCTCACTCTGTTGTTTCCTTTACTATGCAGGAGCTTTTCAGTTTGATATCATCCCATTTGTTTATTTTTGCTTTTGTTGCCTGTGCTTTTGAGTTCTTATCCAAAAAATCTTGTCCACATCAATGTCATAAAGCTTTTCCCCTATACTTTATTCTATTAGTTTTATAGTTTTGAGTCTTACATTTAAGTATTTCATTCATTTTGAGCTGATTTTTGTACATGGTGAAAGATAAGTTTTATTCTTCTGCATGTGGATGTTATGTTTTTTCAGCACCATTTATTAAAGATATTCTCCTTTCCCAAATGTGTGTTCCTGGCATCTTTGTCAAAAATCTATTTATTTATTTTTAATTATTTTATTTTTACGCAACCCTATCATTTGCATGTCATGGACATTTGGGGAAGGTTAGACCAAGGTTTGGCACTGTTACGATGAGCAGATTTGGGATGGGTGAAGAGGGTGTAAACACTTTACATTTTGTTGCTTCCTAAGGCAGTGGAGCTGTTCTTACCAGTACAATTTGGGGGACAATGTAAAACTCATTTCTCATTAATGGATATGATTCTTTAAATTTCATTCCAAGGCAAAGATTTATAAACCTGTCCCCTTTAAAATGCAAACATTCCAATGAGGAGCAAAGCTTGAAAATTAAAATCTTCAACAGGATTAGAAACGAACAACTTTGCAATCTTCTAAAATAAGGCTTCTTAAAATATGGATCCTCTTAGTCTATTTCAGAGTGTTCATGTTGACATTTGCACTGAAGGTACAAAATAAAACTGCTGGTACCTTAATTTGAATAAAGGCAGTGACACCACATAACACTAGGAGTCATGTATTCTTCATTACACACTTGCACCTAAACACACAACCACACATGCGTGCACACATACACACACACGCGTGCATGCTACACACACAGAAACATTTATTAATTTTATTAAAACTTGACCCTTGGGTGCATGTGTTTTTAATATTCTGTAAGATGAAATGGGAAGTGCACATAAAGCAAATCTCAGGCTACTTAAGTATTATAATTGTTTCAAGGAAAAATACTTTTGTGGTTGAGTTGCAAGCTGAATTAGCCACTTTTTTCATGGAACTCCATTTTTCTTGAAAGCACAAGCGACAGGCAAACTATGATTATTCAGACTTGAGTGTCTGGCAGACGTTTCTCCAAAAAAAAAAAAAAAACCAAATGAATTAACTAAGCCAGCCTCTGCAAGGAAAACACCTGACAGTATTTGTTACCAATAATACAATTTAAACTTTTAAATGAAAATTCAAATTTTAGAAAACTTGCATTCATCCTCATGAACTTGACATTTTCCTAATATTTAAAGACTTTGAAGAGATTGGTCATGATATTACACAGTGAGATGTTTTAATATTACATAATGTAAAGTGTCAGAACGTGGAAGATCCGCATGACTCAGTGACCTGATATTTTCCAGATGACCAACACATGATGTTACAACATTATGCAGGATAGAAAGATCCATTCAGATTACAGTATAGAACACTGGATTTAATGTAACAAAGCATGAAAAGTTCACTGATATGATTTCAGATTCCATATTGTAACTAACCTTTAAGAAACTACCATCTGTTTAGTTTAGCGTAGTACCAAAGATGAAAATCCACAATTATGAAAACAGATTGAATGCAGAAGCAAATATGAGAGTGCAGCTCTTTTCTTCTAAGCCTGATATTAAAGAGATTTGCAAACATGCAAAGCCATACCACTCTTTTTGCTAAATTTGTTTTGTTTCAGAACATAAAATGTTGTCATGAAAATGTTAGGTTTTATGTAATGGGTTTATTAATGTTATCTCTAAATGAAATAACAAATGTTGATTTTCTCGGTTTTAATTTCTAAAACGGTAAATCTCAATAGCTCTAAGTCACATGTACAAATATGGGGATTCAATAATTTTTAACAGTGTGAAGGGGATCAGAGATCAAAATGTGAGGGCAGTGGTTCTAGAGCAAGCCTCCTGACTTCACAGGTGAGTCACTGAGGCCATGACAGGTGATGTGACTCATCCACTATAAGACAACTGTGATTAGATCACATCTTTGCAAACCACTGTTCCAATGTGTGTTTTTTTCTACTACTCGACACTGTAAACCATGACTTCATGTGAATACGCTAATCAACTACTGCCTGATGAGAAAGTTGGCTGGGAGAGGCTCTGATGGAGGTCAGTGGAGACAGAGCTTTCTTACAGCATGTGAATGACAGGCCAGGTGAGAGGCTAAGGGGCCTCTGCCAGACTCTGGGCACCTCCAGCGGGTGGAGGCCGGGAGGGGGGATGTGGGCTGAGAGGAGATGAGTGGCTGCAAGTGGAGGAAGAACATTACCTACTTCAGATTTTATGCCTCTTGCTCTGAAACGCGGTCAGCTTTTCCTTACACCTTGGCTTTTCCTCCAGGGAGTTTGCCCGTTGGAAGGTGAACAACTTGGCTCTAGAAAGGAAGGACTTCTTCAGTTTGCCATTGCCTCTTGCCCCAGAGTTTATCCGGAACATTCGCCTCCTTGGAAGGAGACCCAATCTGCAACAGGTTACAGAAAACCTGATTAAAAAGTACGGCACTCATTTCTTACTTTCTGCCACCCTTGGAGGTAAGCAACATCACAATCCTAAGCTAATTGGTTGCCAGACCGTTGGAAATAACGTTAAGACTCATGTAGTATAGCTCCAACAGTCTTTTGTTCCTTCTGGCCTTTTATTGCCTCAGAAGTCTTTCTGGTGCATTTGAAAACAGTGTAGTCTCTTGACATCTCAATTTACCCCAGAGCATCTCTATTTGCTTATAAGGCTCTCCTGAGGAGGGGAAGTTGTGTATGGCGGTTGGAGGTGGACAGGCGCCTAACAAGCACTTGCCAGCAGGGGGCGCTCCCAGTTTTCGCTTCGCTGAGTCACTCAACCCCTGAGGCCTCGCCAGTTTCTAATGTTTGCTGTGGCTACAATGGTCAGACTCACAGGCAAAGAAGTCGACGTTCCTGGAGTCCCTGACCCCTCTTCCTCTCGATAAAGATTGGAAACTGTCCAAACAACTCCAGTGGTTCTGGGCTGATGAGTCACCCTCTTGTGGGGCGGAGCGTGGGGGTAGGGTGGGGCAATGTGGGCTAGAACCTACCAGGGCAGGATCAAAAGCTCTGAAGATGCAGAGTTCCCTCTGCCCTGGGAAGAAGGAAGCAGGATTTATTATAACATTTAGCTCACTGTCCAATCGACCCAAACAAGCTCTCCCAGGGCTCAGGCCAGCTGTCGGCATGTGGCAGGTGTTGAGTGTTTGATGGGGAGGAGGGAGATGGAGCTTCAAGGCTTTTGCCCTTCCCGAGGGAGCAGAAAAAGCAAAGACTCCTCGTAAACAACTTGAGAGAATTGTGTCTCCCCTATGGAGGAGGATTGCTTGAGACAGAGTTCAATAGAAGATGTTAAACAGATAAGGTGAGGGCAGGGGGGCTGAGCTTTGGAAGAGGGCCTTTCAGGTAGCAAGGCCGCTGGCCTGTGGCTCCCTCTGATGAGCTTCTTCTAAAGATGGTAAGGGCTGGGGAAAGAGCTTGGCAGCAGGGGCTGCTTTGTCTCTCAGCTGTGTCTGCCCTGGCCAAGGGTTTATGTTCCTATTGGTAGGGGATTCGAGAGCAGAGAGCCTCACCAATACACTCATGTTGTTCACCATAGGAGAAGAGTCCCTGACCATTTTTGTGGACAAGCGGAAACTGGGAAGAAAGACAGAGACAACAGGAGGTGCCTCTATAATCGGGGGCAGTGGGAACAGCTCGGCCGTGTCCCTGGAGACCCTGCACCAGCTGGCCGCCTCCTACTTCATCGACAGAGAGAGCACGCTGCGACGGCTGCACCATATCCAGATAGCCACGGGGGCCATCAAGGTAACGACCTGAGAGGTACAGGGCAGGGGGTGCGGGAAGCACTGAGGAACTAGGAGGAGGCCCGAGCCTCAACCAGCTCTAGGTCAGCCGGGCGGACTGATGGAAGAGGAAAAGAAACTTTCTGATGAAGACACAGCCAGCCTTCAGACACGATGGGGTCACTCATTCCACAGCAGACGCTCACAGGGCACCCACTCTGAGGCAGGCTGCAGCAGAGGCACGTCTGTGAATGGCAGACAAGGTCCCCATGCTCACAGAGGTTGCACTCTAGTGGAGGATGGAAAAACAACAAAGTCATTTCTAATGATAAATAAAGAAAAGCAGAGTCATAGGTGCACATTTCCTGGGGCGTGGGGAGGGAGCAGCTCATATAATTATTATTAGATTGATCATGGACGGCACTTTGGGGTTTAGACTTTGAGCTCTGAATGATAAGAAACCAGCTGTGTGGAGAAGTGAGCGGAAAGTGTTCAGGCAGACAGAACAAGTGCTAAGTACTTGTTCTAAGTAAGTACCAAGGCCTTTTAGCAGGAACCAGCCTCGTGCCTTGTTGGGCCACAGAGAAGACTGCTGAGATGGTGGGGAGGTGAATAACAAAGACGAGATGAGGTTTGGAAGTCAGCTGGAGCCAGATTATGTGCCATGAGAAGGAATTTTAATATAAGTCAAAGTGCAGTGAAAAACCACTGGAGAGATTTAGCAGGGGAGTAACGTGATCTCATGTATGTTTTTAAAAGATCGATAGTTATTGTGACTTTAATAACTATAACCTTCGTCATATCTTCTCTACTTACACCTAAGAGATTTCTAGTAAAGTTCATGTTGTTTTAGGGAAAACCAGTGAAAATACTGTACTTGAGAATACAGGTTTTTAAAAATTCTAAGCATAATGTTAAGGTGTTGAAAAGACTTCATAGTTGTCTTATATCCTGCTTTTATCCCATCTGAAACTCACAAGCAAATTTTATTTACTAATTCATTCAATAAATATTTACTGAGCACCTATTATTTATCAGGCACTGTTTTGGGTCCTGAGAATACAAGAGTGAATGAAAGCTGTAAAGTCCCTGCCCTCATAAAGCTTGAATTCTAATAGCAGAGAGATAATTCATAAATATACAGACAATAGCTCATTTTGTTATTGTACTTTGCAGATACCTTTTTTTTTTCTTTTTTACAAATTGAAGGGTTGTGAGAACCCTGTGTCAAACAAGTCTACTGGCACTATTTTTGGCACTATTTTTCCAACAGCACATGCTTACTTCATGTCTGATAATTCTCACAGTATTTTAAACTTTTTCATTGTTATTTCGTCTGTTATGGTGATCTGTGATACGTGACCTTTGATGTCACTTTTATAATTGTTTTGGAGTGTCACAAATTGCACCCATATGAGATAACAAACTTCATCAATAAATGATGTGTGTTCTGACTGGTCACTGTATGGAACTTGCTGTTCTCCCATCTCTCTCACCCTTCTCAGGCCTCCCTATTCCCTAAGATACAACAATATTGAAATTAGGCCAATTATTAACCTTACAATGGCTTCTAAGTTTTCAAGTGAAAGAAATAGTCAGACATCTCTCACTTGAAATCAAAAGCTAGAAATGATTAAGCATAGTGAGGAAGGCATGTCAAAAGCTGAGAAAGGTCAAAACCTAGGCCACTTGCATCAAACAGTTAGCCAAGTTGCAAATGCAAAGAAAAAGTTCTTGAAAGACATTAAAAGTGCTACTCCGGTAAACACACAAATGATAAAAACACCAAACAGCCTTCTTACTGATATGAAGGAAGTTTGAATGGTCTGGAAAGATCAAACCAGCCACAACATTCCCTGAAGCCAAATCCTAATCCAGAGTAAGGCCTAACTCTGGTTAATTCTATGAAGACTGAGGGGGTCAAAAAGCTATGGAAAAATGTTCGAAGCTAGCATAGGTTGGTTCATGAGACTGGAGGAAAGAACCCATCTCCGTGATATAAAAGTACAAGATGAAGCAGTAAGTGCTGACTTAGATGCTGTAGCAAGTTATCCAGATCTAGCTAACATCACTGATGAGGGTGGTTACACTAAACAACAGATTTTCAATGTCAATGAAACCACTTTCTACTGGAAGAAGATGACGTTGAGGACTTTAATAGCTAAGGAGGGTAAGTCAATGCCTGGCTTCAAAGCTTCAAAGGACAAGCTGACTTTCTTGTTACAGGCTAATATAGCTGGTCACTTTAAACTGAAGCCAAGACTCATTTAGCATTCTGAAAATCCTAGGGCCCTTAAGAATTATGCTAAATCTCCTCTGCCAGTGCTCTACAAATGGAACAATCCAGCCTGGATGACAGCATATTTGTTTACAGCATGGTTTATGAACTATCTTAAGCCCATTGTTGAGACCTACTGCTCAGAAAAAAACTTCTTTCAAAATATTACTGCTGATTTACAATGCACCTGCTCACCCAAGAGCTCTGATGGAGAGGTACAAGGAGATTAATATTGTTTTTATGCCTGCAAACACAACATCCATTCTGTAGCCCATGAATCAAGGAGTAATTCTGATTTCCAAGTCTTATTTAAAAAATATTTTGGTAAGGTAAAGGCTGCCATAGATAGTGATTCCTCTGACAAATCTGGGCAAAGTAAATTGAAAATCATTTAGAAATAACACTATCCTAGATGCCATTATGAACATTTGTAATTCATAGGGGGATGTCAAAATATCATTAACGGGAGCTTGGGAGAAGTTGATTCCAACCCTCATGGATGTCTTTGAGGGTGTCTTTCCTCAGTGGAGGAAGTAATTGTATATGTAGTGGAAATAGGAAGAGAACTGGAATAAAAAGTAGAGCCTGAAGATGTGACTGAATTGCTGCAATCTTATGATAAAACTTGAATGAATGACGAGTTACTTCTTATGAATGAGCAAGGAAGTGGTTTCCTGAGAGGGAATCTACTCCTGGTGATGATACTGTGAATGTTGTTGAAATGACAGCAAAGCATTTAGAATATTTTATACACTTAGTTGATAAAGCAGTGGCAGGGTTTCAGAGGATTGACTCCAGTTTTGAAAGAAGTTCTATTATCGGTAAAATGCTATCGAATTGAGTCACATGCTACAGAGAAATCTTTCGTGAAAGGAAGAGTCCATTGATGCAGTCAATGTCATTGTTGTCTTAGTCTAAGACATTGCCACAGGCCGCCTCAACCTTCAGCAACCACCACCCTGATCAGTCAGCAGCCATCAACATCAAACCAGGACACTCCACCAGCAAAAAGACTCCAACAACTGGCTGATGGCTCAGATGATCATTAGCATTTTCTAGCAATAACATATTCTTTAATTAAGGTATGTACATTCTTTGTTCAAACATAATGCTATTGAACACTTAATAGACTACAGTATAGTGTAAACATCACTTTCATATGCACTGGAAAACCAAAAAATGTGCGTGACTTGCTTTATTGTGATATTTGCTTTATTACAGTGGTCTAAAATTGAACCCATAATATCTCTGAGGTACACCTGTATAATGCCAGGTGGGATGAATGGTATGAAAAAATGAAGCCAAGTAAGAGGATAAAGGGTGATGGGAATGTGGAGTTTAGGGAAGACCTGTCCAAGGAATGCCACTTAAGCAGAGACTTAAATGAAGTGAGGGAGTAAGCCCTGAACATCACAGACAAAGGACAGAGCAGGTACAAGTGCCGTAAAGAGGCAGGGCAGTGTACTTTGTATGATCCAGGACCACCAAGAAAGGCAATGAGGCTGGCATGCAGTCAGGAGAGAAATGAAGTAAAAGATGAGTTTATAGAGGTTGCAGGGGACATATCATGAAGGCCTTACTGATTAGGAAGTAAAAAGAAAGGGGGATCCTGGAGACCAGTGCAGTGGCTATTGCAATAGTAAAGGTAAGACATAGTGGTGGCTTGGACAAAACTAGTGTTGTAGAGGTGGTGAGAAGTTGGCATATTCAGAATATGTTTTGATGGTAGAGCCTACGGAATCAGACAATGGATTGGAAGAAAGGAGTAAAGATTTACTGCAAGATTTATGGCCTGAGCAATCAAATGAACAGTGATTCCATTTACTGAGAAGGACAACACTGGGAGGAGGTACAGATCTGAAAGAAATAAATCAAGAATTTGGTTTTAGACAAATTGAATGTGACACTCCTATCAGACGTCTAAGTAGAGAAATCTAACAGTTGAAAACAAACACCAAGATTTCAAGAGAAAGGCCATGATTGAATCTGGAAAGTTGGTATACAAATATATACACATGTCCACCTGTGTAGTTGGTATTTCCAACTATGGGAGAAAATGAAATGAGATCACTCAAGGAGTGAGTGCAACTACAAAAGTGGCCCAAGGGCTGAGTTGTGAAGCACTCCAATATTCAGAAAGAGGGAAGAAGAGAGGATCCAACCAAGAAGACTGAGACAGAACAGAGTATGAAGAGGACCAAAGCGGGCTCACAAAGCCATGTGAAGAATGTTTTTCACAAAAGAAGGAACTGGCAACTGTGGCTGTTGAGCAGTCACTAAGGTGGAGATTGAGACTTGACCTTCAGTTTGGTGACATGGAGGTAACTGGTAACCTGGAGAAGAGTGGTTCAGTACATGAAGGGTACAAAAGGCCGAGTGAAGAAAATTCCAGGAAGGAAGCAAAGTGAGGAACCAGATATGAATAGAAACAATCCTTTTGCTGTAAAGGCAAATGGAAAAACAAGTGATAACTGGGGAGCGATGTGGGGTCACAGGAGGGTGTGATTGTGTTTTTAAGATGGGAGCTATTCCAGCATATTGATATAGTGATTAAAATAACTCCATAGGCCAGGCACCGTGGCTCATGCCTGTAATCCTAGTACTTTTGGAGGCCAAGGTGGGCAGATCACAAGGTCAAGAGATCAAGACCATCCTGGCCAACAGGATGAAACCCCATCTCTACCAAAAATGTAAAAATTAGCTGGGTATGGTTCTGCATGCCTGTAGTCCCAGCTACTTGAGAG